ACCTAACCCACGTTAAAGGTAAAGCGTCAGTTGTATGACGGCCCGGGATCGTCATGTAACTGACGTTTAAGGGTACCCTAAAAAGGCGGATGTTGACGTATGGTCAAAAGACATCCCAAGACGTCAGTTATATGACTTCTTGGGATGAGACTGTGTTAACTTCACACTCGAGGAAGTCCCAGGTTTACACCTGATACCAGTCAATTGCTCTCCAAGGTTACAGAGCCATGACGTATTTCTGATCAGCCTTGAGGCGAAACAGACCGGAGGCCCATGCCCGAGGTAGTAGCGGGTGCATACAAAGCAAAATATCTGCTGTATAGACCCCCTTCGGTCTGAGCTTGAGATAAAGGCTCTATGGCCCCTTTGCTCAATAGTTTCGCTATAGATGAGCCACTTCGGTTTTTACAGTAGTTTTGACCCGCGCCATGTAGCGAATAGCCTCTTTTTATAATATTCAGCACCCATTCTGATACCTCGGGAAGCTTTACGCTCGCATTTTCATGAATAGCTAGGGGTAGACTGAGATCTGGGCTCTGGTCGCAACGAAGTGGCAACCACGAAAATAAGTCGTTTAGTCAAAGGCTTGCCACAATCTTTCTGCACGGAGCATACGCTTAAGGCTGTTACTCATACTAGAAGCTCATTTCACAGGCATTGATGAAAGACTGTACTACGCTGATGTACCTTGGCTGATTTATGGAGGTCTTTAGCAAGCCTTGATTTTTAGTTTGCAAGGGCACGCCACAACAGTAAAGGCTAGCACAAACCTTTCAAAATACTTTTCCCATGCATTATTTAATGGGAATGTCCAACACCGATCACACAACCTGATGCGCTGACCTCCCAGATGCAGGATGCACATTAAACACAAAGCCAAATGTCCCTGCATGGTATAATGAATATTCATGTGCCTGCCCATCATGGGGCAGGGAGCAGGGGGGGTTGGTGGTAAAATATTAACAGCTCTTCTGATCATTAAGTGAATTTTGGAAAGGTGCCACAGTTACAGTGCAAGAGGGTGTGTGTGTGTGTGTGAGAGGGACAAAAAGGCAATTAGGAGAGTGTCAGCGTGTGTCATGATCTTAATAAGACCTTCCTTTCCACATACCTGAGGCAGGTTGTCACTCAGCTGGTGTCCAGACTCATTTGTTTAATTGCAGTCACATTTTAAGCTTACAAACCGTCACGTTCCAAGACAATTCTTTAGGGATTGGACTCTCACATGGCCATTAAAGTCGGCATGAAATCTAAATTGACAGTTCCTATTTTTTTTATGAAATACTGCAGTATTTATTATAAATGATTCATCCATGCGCATCATTTTTTAAATTTATGTGAGGGAAATTTATATCTATAAGGAAAAAAAGGAAAAATAAATCTATACATTTTGTGTTAAGCAAAATAAAAAAAAAATTCTCAAAGGTTTGCAAGCATATATAAAAATATAAATGGCAAATATTTCATTGTGAAGTAGTATAGCAATTTTACCAGTGCCTGAATTATGACTTTTGCAAGGTTTTAGTCTGTTGTTCCATGCAAAAGATGATAGATTTGCCTTAGCAAGTGCTAAAAATACATTTAAAAAGTTCTGAAAATGACATCAATCAACTGAAATTTCATAAGTAACTTTTCTAGAGACGTTCTATCAGGTTATTAAAGTGAAACTCTGACCGTGAACTCAGGATGAGCTCCCAAGTGAACGATTCCTACAGGCAGCCTGAAGGGAAACTGTGAAGAAGACAAATGCCGCAGTGTTTTACAAGCCGCATAAGAAGTTGAAGATTCACACCTGTAAAAGAGATGAATAATGAATCGTGTTGCATTTAAATCTCACAGCAAACCCTAGTTACCTCCAGAACAGAAGAACTGATATCTATCTGCTTGCCATCTTTTTTTTTTTCATTGGCTGTTCAGCTGTGTTTGTGAAGGTGGAAGTTTTTAAGATTGACATGATACCAATAAATGTGTATTTTAAAATGTAGAAATAATGATATTAATAATCCATATTATGACTTTATACTTTACGTGGGATTCTTTATTGTGATTGGTCAGTCGTGACATTCAGTTATATTATTTTTTCATATAATGACTGCATGACTGTATTTTGTTTTAATAGAAATTAATGTTTTTTTGTAGCAAAGACACGTTAAATAAAAAAAGACTTACAAAAAAAATCTATTTCAAACTAATTATTAAATAATCATCTACAAAATCTATCACAAAATGTACATTTACACAAAAATATTAAAGAAAGGACTAAATGACCTTATTAGCATGATTTCTGAAGGATCATGTGACACTGAAGAAATGGAGTCAAATTGTTCAACTTACAGGAATACATTTTTAAATATATTAAAATAAAATATTTATTTAAAAAGTTTTGTAATAATATTTCATTTTTTTATACTGTAATGCATCTATCAAAAAAAAACTATCTTTTTATAATTTGTTAAATCATGTCAATATTTCTTGTCCATTTATTTCTGTTTGGCAAGTAATTAAATAAAAGCGTTAATGCACAGTCAGCCAGTCATCACTGCAAAATAAACCCCTTCGGGACGATAAAAGACACCCATGCTTCACATTGGGGTCCTAATTTGCCTATTGGGGTTTATTTAGTAATCCTCAGATGACTAAATTATCCCTTACTTAAGAGTTTAGTGGCTGTTTATGACAAACATGAACCTCTCCATTCCAGATTTCACAGCTGGCAAAACAAACTTCATCGCCACAAATAGAAAGTCACAGAAGACCTGATTTCACAAGACAGAACGAAGTAAAAATTGAGGTAAGATCTCAAGTGTGCTGCGCTAACCTCCAAAAAGAGACAACGTTAGCAAGTAAAGGTAGATCATTATCTCCTTGTCTGCATGACGGAAGTTGATTTTGAAAAGCGCAAAGGCGGCGTCCAGTAATTTTGCCAGTGGCAGGAGCATCAGCACAACCTCACCCTCCCTTGTGCTTTAAAGGAAATTCATTAATAACCTCTTTCCTGCCTCCTGAAGAGGGACCACAGATGCTAAACGCACCACCCAAAGACCAGCAAGAGCAAATCTGGGCCAGATATCATCCATCTTCCATCTTCACCTCTAAAGGCCTTGCCAACTCCTTGCTTGGGATAAAATTGCACAGTAGAGTTTTTCCTCTCCAGTGAATACATCTTGAATACAGAAGCCCTGAACCGCAAGGTGAGAAAAAAAGAAAACTTATCTCATTATAACGACATATGTAGTTTTAACGACTTATTAAGTCGTTTTAACGACTTAGTATGTCGTTATAATGACTTAGTATGTCGTTATAATGACATAATATCTCGTTATAACGACATAAGTCGTTAAAACGACGACTTAATAAGTCAATAAAATGACATGATATCTCCAGATACGTTTTCTATTTTTTTTCTCACCTTGCGGTTCAGGGCTTCCGTACTTCCGTATAGACCATTTCACAAGATGTAAACAACACTGGCTCAGAAGCACTTCCTGTTTCAGTTTAACACTACATAAAAGCTGGGATAAAATACAACCAACAGAACATTTAAAACTGAATCAAAAAGTTAAACCAACATCTTTAAGATGTTTTCTTTACATGTGAAATAAAGAAAACAGTTACAAACTGAAACAGGAAGTGCTTCTGGACCAGTGTTGTTTAAATCTTGTGAAATGGTCTATAATAAGAACGCTAAATATAGCTTTACCATATTAGAATGCGCCCCTTGTTATGTCGAAATAACGAGATATTTTTGTTGAAATAACTTATGTCGTTTTAACGAGATATCATGTCGTTTTAACGAGATATTATGTCGTTTTAACAACTTATTAAGTCGTTATAACGAGATATTATGTCGTTTTAACAACTTAATTATGGTGTTATAAAGAGATATTATGTCGTTTTAATGACGTATGTTGATATAACGACACACTAAGTCGTTAAAACGACATAATATCTCGTTATAACGAGATAAGTTTTCTTTTTTTTTCTCTCACCTTGCGGTTCAGGGCTTCCGTAGTTTTGTTACCTTAAACTAGGGGAGACAATTAAAAAAATGTTGTTAAGGTAATAGGAGGCAGGTGATTGATTTACAAATTAGCTCTAAAGAAATATTAATCAATCATAACTTGTTATAATTGATTATAAATATTTTGATCAGTTAATAGAATTAACTTAATGCTGTACAATTAATATTCCAACCTGTTTGTCCCGGGAAGAATCATTGTTATTAGTTTATTAATTCTAAGAAACTGACTTTTCCGGGATATATTAAAATGTCTTTCTTAATTCACAGTACTACTAAGAGCAAGTAGTCAAAATCTGCATGATTGGGGACTACAGCATTTATGAGCTTGAAACACACACACACACAAAAAAAAAAAAACACAACACCATCATGCCTTTGGGTGACCAAGCACTTTTTGAGCTGACAGATGCTTCCAGCCACTGCTAATTGTGTATATTATTCCAGAGGGAAATGTCTCCAGCTGTGCCCTGAGGTGAGTGCATCCACTCAGCTGTCATGTGCAATAGCCATTCAAAAGATTCTTTTGAGAGGGCGCAATTACAATGTGCTGGAATACTGGTGCCATCCTGTAGAGTTGAGAAAAAGGGAGCGTCTCTGAGGTGTATTACAGGGATAGTCATGGCTTCGAGGAATCGATCAACCAAAAATAATAAAACCCCCATCATCATATCCCCTCATATCGTTACAAACTCACAACTTATTTTGCAGAATCGAGCACCAAAAAAAGATCAATTAACGTGATAATATTCTATTCAACACTAGTCTGAGGTCAATGAGACTCATGAGAATCATAAATCTGCCTTGACACACCATTTGAATGAATGAATGAATGCACGCATGACCAAAACTTTTGTGGCAATAATGACTTTAAGTTTAGCCTGTTCCTCAAACAAAGGCTCAATAATAAGTCATCCAGACCTCTTTTATGACGCTTTTGGAGTTTAAGGAAGAGAATAAAACCGAATGAGAGCACAAAAAACATTGGCTTACCATTTATTTTAGTTTTATGACATTAAGAGTTGTTCTTGTCAAAGAAACAAACATTGAACGAGTGAACAATTTAACAAACCCCCCCAAACATGTCACAGAAACAATTGAAACCGGTGTTTTTATAAAGGGTTGTCAATGTAGTGAGTCTAAAGTGAGAACATACTGAACCCTTTGTGTGACTTTACCAAACACCAATTACAGTACAATGAGCCAGAAACAGTCATGGCAGCGACGACAGTATTAAAAAGTCCACCCGATGGTTACATGTGTGCTATGACAAACTCTGAAGGACGGCATTCCTTTTGCCCTGAAGTCAGGGAAGGCTCTGGAATGCAACTGTGAATGGATTTTATTACAGCATGTGATGCTTGGCCAAGAACTCGACAGACCTGAAACCTGGGATCCAAGTACTGGCACATTCCAATCTAAAAAAACACACCAAAAAACAGAGTACGAAAAAAATAAAATAAAAAATACAGCATAATCTCTTAAATTCCTTAAAAACCAAAGTTTTTCTTTTATTAAACTGCAATCATAACTTTACATATCCTGCACGTATATAAAATTCACTATGTATTGCCGTCTACATATGTGTTCTCCAGTGTTAAGGCACATAACATATATTTCCACATCGTATAAAACCGTTTTTCTCGCATATACTAAAGCACTTCAGCACATACAAAATTTGCTACTATCAGACTACGAAAATAAAGTCCAGGATGCTATAAACAATACAATTTTGACGAGACAAAAAACGTATTGCTCATATTGCTGAACCTGAGCAGTGCAGAAGAAAAAAACTGAGGGGACAAAATACTTGTGCTTCATATTAGCCTTTTATCGTATGCAGACACAATCAGTCATTTCCTCCCGATCACAGCCACCCACTTTATATACAACTCTAGGTTTTTCCGTTTAAGAATCAGAAGTACAATTCGAGGAGCTTGCAAAATATAACACCCTTGTTTTTTGGTCCGGGCACATTCTAATCGCGCCATTCATTCTGTAATGAGCACAATAGATCTCATAATCCTCCTGGTAGACTGTTCATAAATCAGCGGTTTTGATAGCGACTGCCCAAATGAGATCTCGAACGAACAGATTGGTGAGGCCTTGAGGTTATGTGAGCACAGCATGACAAATCATCTCATAAAAACTATTTTAGCATCTCTCTAGGGGACTCTATGTTACGCCACACCCCTGACATTTGCAGAATCGTGGAATTTTCTATTGCGGAACAAAAGGATAGCCTGATCCGTTCATTACACATATTACAGCTTTAAAAGAACGAGTCTCAGCCTAGTTCGTTAGTTCCCTTAGAATGGGCTGATCAAATACGTCCGTTTTCATGAACATGTGCTTACGGTTCCTGAGGGCGAGCGTGACGCGAATGCATATAGCTTCCAGTAATGAAACAATAGGACCAGTTTGGATACAGTCTCTGGGGCCGTTAGGGCACAAAGACACATATAGGAATGGTTCCACCATAAAAGACAATCCTGTACATCATTCACTCACTCTCACAATTCCAAACCCATTATGACTTACTTTTTTCATTGGGATCTATGGTCCAATGTTGTTTTGGACACCATTGACTTTTATTGGATGGACAACAACAACAGACACTCAGTCAGGTTTGGAATTAAACGAGGATGATTAATTGACGACAGAATTTTTCATTTTGGCTGAAATTTAACAAAGGAGCAGCAACCCTGAGCCGAATAAATCGCTAAATGCAACGGTTACAGTACAAAAACTCCAGCAGTCATGTGCTTCTTGCATCTTTGGTCAATCTTTTAAAGAGTAAACAGCAGAAAAATACAATCAAAGCAGATGCATATTTGAACCGATAAAGCTAAAAAATGACGGTTAAGTGCCATTATCAGCACATCCTTCTGTTCGCACATGGACTGAATCATATCTTCTAAGGCCGTCTGCTGTCAATAAACACTAAGTAGCTTTATGCATCGGCCTCTATTTCCTAAAGCACTCTGCACTATGACTGGATGAATATAACTATATATAAAAAAAGGCAAAAGTGATACCTTATTCTGCAGGAATGCGTGTACAAACAAAAAGCAGCAGCAAAAAAAAGAACAAAAACTACATGAGCAATTTAAATGTTCAAATGTGCTAGACTAGAAGACAGTTCCATTTTTACAAAGCAATGTTTGACTCCTTTAAGTATGTGAATGTGATAATGCTCGTGTGTGGGCAAAAATTTGAACGTTGCATAGATGTCTAAGAGCTTCAATAATGGAATGCGATAGAGTAAACGTATCTGTCTAACTGCAAAAACAAAATCTCAACATGTGTAGTGTGAATCTGTGCATTCGCTAAAGCGGTTGTCTGTCGTTAAATCCACTGTGTGACTTTTAGTGCTGGGGATGTTTAAGGAATTTCACTAACACTTTGCACATAGGGTAGATAAATCATGTAATAATACCCGAACAACTAGTTTTTACAACATGAACTATTGCCGAATGAACCAACCAAAAACTAATTAAGCGCTAGCATGAGCTACGACTGGAGTCAGAGGAAGTCATGTGAATAATGGCCACCTTAACTACATGTTTGAACACGTTTGATAGTTAATGCATCAGATTGGCCGTATAAGTATTTAAAGTGGCAAAAAAAAAACCTAATCGGATTTAAATATGTTTTAATTACATTTCTAAATGGGATTATTCACGTAAATGAAAAAGGGTAGAAGATATGAATGTAAAGCAAATGTTATGATGAATCAAATCATGTATGATTCATTTATGAAAAGTCTTATTATTGCAAATGACTCCAGTCCAGTCACAGCTAAGCACATTACTAGTTTTTTAATGATCATACCTTTGTTTAAAAGCAAGCAGTAGTTCAGGTAGCCTATTAGAAAACTTCTCGTGTGAATGTATTATGGGAATTTCTGTAGCTACGGACACAGTGAAGGGTACGGTCTAGGACTGGGACGGGGAAATACGAGCGTAGTGCTGCAAGCGGTGTCTGATGGTAGAAGAGGAAGGTTTTTTTAAAGTGCGCCAGAACATCCAGGTTCAAATAAACAGATAAAGGAATGTGTCTGGATTGCTTCTGTCTCGAGAAACAAACCCTCTCTGCTTTTGAGATGGTTTACAAAGAAAAAAAAATCCCAAAAGTTAGTCAATGTAAAAATAAGACCATCCAGTTTGCACATGCTGGCCACTCTCGCTCTCTTTCTCTCTCAAAACACAAACAAACTTTATTCTAAACTTTATACATCTAAAATATATATATTTATGTAGTACCAACCTATATCTTCATAAAATATTCATGAATATATAATAACATTTAATAAAGCTAACGTGCAAATTTGAATCAGCGTAACAGGTAGAAAGCATCATAGAAATGTTGTTTTGAGTGAATGTTCTTGTAGGCTGTAAGATGACTGGGTGTGATCCACATCCCCGGCCCGTTTCAGTAGGGATCTTTGGTTTGAATGCTCCTCGTCGTCTAGCTTTTGTCCCAAAAAACAACTTCTGGGTGGCGACATGAGCTGCATAGCCTCGGTTTGAGCAAGCAAAGGAGTGGAGGTGAGCAACCCGACCTGGCAGAGGTCTATTGGGCTCAGCGGGGCCTCCAAGCCTGTGCTATCCAAAATAGTCCTGGAGCCAGGAGTGTCTTTGGAGTACGGCAAAGTGCCTGTATTGGGACTCGAAGGTTCCTTCACGCAGTGTAAGTTCTCAGATAGGGGGCCGTCTGAGCCCTGTCTGCAGGACTGAACTTTTTCCTGCATTCTGAAGTTGAGCGTGATATGGTTGTCAGAGTTCTTTGAGCTTAATGGTGTGTCCGGCATCTCCATGCTCTTTGATGGGATGGGGCTGGAAATAGCCATCTCCTTCTGTTTGGTGCCACTCGTGTGGGCTTGTTTTACCCCGGGCCCGTAATCTTTCTGGAAAGGCAAGCAGAAAGGGAAAAATGGGGCGCGGGGGGCAAACAGTGACCCGAGCGAACCCAGCTTCATCTGGCTCTGATTCAGGAAGAGCCTGCGCATGTCCACTGGCAGTTTGTCCAGTTGTCTCCCCACGTGGACAGGGTTTGGGAATAAAGTTCCCTGACAAGCTCTATAACAGTATCTGAGAAATGAACACCGGTAAACTGTGATTAGAAATTATGGTAACACTTTATAAGTATATAGTAACAAAGCACTTATAAATCATTTGCAAGCTATTAGTTTATACCTTAATAGTTTATAAACCGTAGTTAATACATTAATAGACAATATACAAATAGTGAGTTCTTTATTCATTGTCAATGTAATTAACAAAGTAGTATTGATAACTCGTATGTAGAGTTATACTGTATAATGCTCTGTTAACAACTTAATATACATCATAAATAATATATAACCATAAATAGTTCTCACTTTAGATTAGGTCACGGAAAGTGTTTTGAACCAATATTTATTAGACACTAATTGCATTCACATTCAGTGTTCCTTAAAATGTTTACACAGACAGACACACACACACACACATCACTTAGTATGGCTTATAATGTCAAATGATTGTACGATTAGTGTTTATCTCATGGGAACCAAAAAAAATAACCCCACAAGAACATTCTTCCCCCATAATGTAGGGTTTACCGAGACACAAACATGTTTTTCCATGTCTTATGGGGAATTTCCATAGAAATGATTTTTATACTGTACAAACTGTATATTCTGTCCACTAACACTAAGTGATGTATTTTAACAACGTGATCTATTGAGTATTTGTATGCCTCTCATATTAACATTTTTGGTCACACTTTAGATTAGGGTCCAATTCTCTCTATTAACTACGACCTTTTCCTCAAACTCCTAATTCCTGCTTGTTAATTGTTAGTAAGGTAGTTGTTAAGTTTAGGCATTGGGTAGGATTAAGGATGTAGAATATGGTCATGCACAATAAGGCATTAATATGTGCATTTTAACAGCCAATATCCTAGTAATATACATGCTAATTAGCAACTAGAATTGGATCCTAAACTAAAAAGAGTTATCATATGCTTTTTAAACTATTAAATGTATTAGAAATGTGTAATATTGTATCTGTCACTGGCATAAACTTCCCTTATCTAAACTAGAACATGGAATTCAACTTAAATACATGGTTAGGTCAAATAATTTTAATTAGGCCAAATAGTTACAACAGGGCATAACCATGTTTAGAAATACCTGGGAAGAAGAGCGGTAATGGGTGTGACGACACACATCAGGTAGAATGTAGGATCTAGCAGCAGCTTCTGCATGGTCCAGTACGTGTTGGAGGGAGAGAAACAGGTTGGGCAGGAGGCGTTGTAGCACAGTGCCACAGTAAAGAAGAGAGCTATACTGAAGCCAATCGATACCCAGTTCATCCATGTCTGTGAAATAATTAAAGACAATCAAGGCAGAGTTAACCAAGAGTTGCTAAATTTCCCGTATTAGATATTGTACCATGACTCAAAATGAGAACAAATTTGAAAACACTTCATACATTCTCATATTTCTATGATGTGATTATTATTTAATTTAAAAATATTATTTATATATAATATATTTATATATAATATAAATTGTATATAAATCTATATACAGTATATACATGAAAATATTTCTTAAATATATACAAGCATGTGTGTATTTATATATAAAATAATTATACACAGTGCACCCACATATATTAGGTAAACATAAACGTTTAATTTAGATGCGATTAATCGTTTGACAGCCCTAATATATATATATATATATATATTACACATTTTACCTCAGTTATACAAAGTAAATACAATTACATTCATTTTGTAATTTAATAACATAATTTCATTAAACGTTACTAATCACTCAACCCTGCATACATTTTGTTCTATATATATATATATATATATATATATATATAGAGAGAGAGAGAGAGAGAGAGAGAGAAATTATGTAATTAAATTACAAAATGAATGTAATTGTATTTATTTTGTATAACTGAGGTAAAATTTGTAATTCAATTAGTTAATAAATCAAATTAAAAGGAAATTGCTTTACATTGTTAAAGTAATCCAAATAAAATAATCCAAACCACATTTCTAATGGTAACTTATAATGGTAACAGTAAGCAACTACACTGAATGTATGTAAGATTCAACACATTCTTTCTGTTGTGTGACTGAGTGGCATTTCTTTGAATTGCCATGAATTTAATTCCACTTCCTGTGGGCCTGAGTCAATTCAAATTTAAATTCCAATTCCTGAATTGAATGGAGGCCAATTCTGAAATTCAGAATTTTGCACAAGCCTGATGTACAGCAGGAAATGGAAAACCTAATGTCAAAATTCAACTATTCTCTGGTGAGCTGTAGTTTGCACTTGGTGTAGCAAGAGTAAAGCTTGTTGTTTCAATCCTAAAATGCTTGCGCACAAAAACTGACGTGCAACGACCTTATGATGTGTACTTGGCCTCCACACTGACCTCACCTTAAATGACCTAAACGGAGTTTCACTCGCTCTCTCTAGTACACGTGTTCATTTTCCCAGGCAGCATGTGGAACGATGAACCTGCCAGCCCAACTATCGGAAACGTTTACTCTCTACTTGAGCCATTTACTGTGAAGAACGGCCTCTTTCACACCAGAAGCCATCATCATGTCCGGAAAGACAGTGAGGCTGCAGAGGACATTTTTCACACACCGAAACTTGTCAGCTGAAAATTTACAGTGCCGGTGTAATGGAAAAAGCTCTAATCCAATTCGCCCTCATAAATCTAAAACAGCGACTCGTGAATAGAGGGGAAAAATAGAGGGGAAGCAGGTATGGGCTGTACACATACATAAACGACCAGAGGACATGCAACGGTAAAATCAACTATTAGCTTTGGCCACCCTGTGCGAGTGGGCCATGTATACGCGACCGTGGTGAGCGAGGGAGACGAGCACATTGCCCTGGACTCAGGCTTCCTGCATGGGCTGTCAGGCTGATGTATGGCCCCTGATGCCGCACTATCTCCCGGTTCAAACCAATCATGGAGGCTCCCTGCAGAAAACGTCTCTGGCCGTGTCAGCATCATCCTGGTCTTTCCTTGCTACAGTGTTCGGCCTCATTTCGTTCTTGGAGAAAGTAAGCGAAGGCTTGCTTTCTCTTCCCCCTCATATACATGTGTGGGATGGGTTTCTGATTTCATCAAAGCTAAGGCACTTTATCATTTCCAAACCTCCCGTGGATCGTACACAAGACGCATATATATTCACACATATTGCGGCAGCCTAATGGATTGTTTTAGAGGAAGTTTAAGGTTTAAGTAGCAGTACAAATTTAGTTTCAGGGTTGCTGCTGTTATTAGAGTTTAAGATCTTTCAAAGACCTGAACAAATATAATTAATACTGTGCGTCATGAAATAAAATAACATTCGACAAGCCCAGCAAACATGGCAAAGCAAGTTTAAAATGCAGTTTTTCACTGAGTAAGTAAATGAAAGAATAATGTTTCTTTAGCTACATGCATGCAAAATGCCATTGCAGGGACATGCATTTCTAACTGATGGCGTAAACAAACTGTGCATTCAAACCGGGAGCAGGAGCAGCGCGTGAGCAGCAGTGAAGCGGGGGTTTTGGTGTCGAATCGTTTTTTACGGCACTGTCATGCTCAATTTAAGTGAAAGCACACTTTTGATGGCCAAAAATAAATATGATTTCACACAAAAAGTGCCCAAATGCACAGAATAAGCAAGTCTAGTGAGTTTTAACAAGAACTTGAGTAGGCAAATAAAAGAAAATAAAGACTCAAAAATATTTATAGAAGATTTAGGCTACTAGTAAAAGTAAACTAGCCAGAAAATGTTATATATAAACATGTTATACACACAGACAGCTACATAGGCTAGCACAACCCAAATCAAAACAGAGTGTGTGGTTTATTTGTGTTATTTTTTATCCGCAGAGTTGCAGTCTTGTAAACATATCAAAAGTATGACTGAAACTAATAGATTGGGGCCATTTTCTGGGTTGTTTTGTTGTTTAACATTTATATGCGAATGTTCTACACCTCCCCATTACAAACTTTCAAGACTATCAATGTTATAAATGGCCAACTTCTAAAAACTAGGGCTGGTCCGAATACCATGTTTTGAGCTTCGAAGCTTCGGTAATAATAAACATTAAATATTCGAAGCTTTGGAATCTTTATAGCCTAGCCTATGTCTGTGTCTGTTTGCATTTAGATTATTTCGAGAACCGATCATCCACACGACTAGGGTTGGGTATCGTTTGAATTTGAACGATTCTGATTCCGATTCCTTGTTTCGATTCCGGTTCCTAACGATTCTCGATTTCGATTCTTTTAAGAGGCAGGGTCAAAAAAGTTTAGCTAACCTTGCTAACCAACGGTCTTTCTGAAGGAAATACTCCTTCTGTCACAAATACTTGTCACAAATTTTGCATTTTGCCGAGATTTCGTTAATTTTTAGAAAAGTGAAGCCACACTTTGGACCGCCGACATAAGCTACTCATGTTCGACTCGCGCGGTTATGCCAACACTTCCGGTAGACGCTTCTTCGTTGGTGTTGTTCAGCGGTTTCTTATTCCGCTCGGCGGACTGTGAATATCGAAACTAGGAATTGAAATTTTAACTTTTGAACGATTCCAGGAAAAAACGAAAAGTTAGTCCCGGTTCCAATCGATACTCGATACCCAACCCTACACACGACTTCACAAGGGAGTGCAGTGTCGTATTAGGTGCAATATAGATAGACAGCCGAGACATGATACGTTCAGAATTAATAAACTACAGAACAGCGCGAGCAAGCAGAGCTTATATGCTCCGAGAACAGACACTGCAAAACACACACAGGTCTGTTAACTTAAGCAAGGTAGTCATTTTTCTCACTAACAAATAATCGACAAAGTAGGGTAGATTTCAATAAAGAAGCGCACCTCATGCGAGCTGGGATTATATGCTCTGAAAATGGACACTGCACTAGTGATATAAAACACAGGCACACACTACCTTATTATGTCACAAACCTACTTGTTCCTGTCTGTCCTGGTCTCTCTATTGTAAGTTAAATGAGTCGGATTACTGAGACTCCCAACCTTTGTTTCAATGATAATGTTAAGGTTTGAGCAATCTAGTCAGGCTGATTGGATTAGCATCTCAAGGCTCTGAATAACTGCAATCAGGGCTGGGGAATTTATGGTAACCAGCTGAATCATGTAGTTTCATTTACTCTATGTATCTCCTCCCCCTTGTAAGGTGTATGAAGACAGTTTGTATTTTAGTTCAGTTAGACTTGGCCAGTTAGACCAATGATGCAACAGAAATAAAGAATCCTGCCTAAGAAGATACAACCAAGCCTCCTAGTCTTCGCTTCTGAGTTCCTACACTTTAGAAGAAAAAGCTTTCAACCAGCCCAACTAAAAACAAATGTATAGTTGTCTTTGTAAAGAATGGCTCGCTTATATATGTAGCTTTGGAGCCGCTGCTGTGACACTGTCCAAACGCTTCCAGTGTGAATACTCTCGCGATGTACAGTAGTTACGCTGACGCCCTTCTCAACCAACTGCTTCGGTGTGTCACATAGACATATTCATCGTCTTGCTGCTCCCTCCCTGTTCTGTGATTGGTTCCCTAGATGAGGTGAAAATTTGGTCCATGGTATCCAGACTGCCTAGCAGGGTGAATAAAAATCGCACTGCGGCAAGGCAGTATGGGGAACCCTAGGCTAGGCTTAACCATAAACCCTCAACAATCTTAACAAGCACACAACTTCCATTACACTGCCAAAAGCTAAACAGAAGAACCATGAAGACGGAGCAAGTTTGGCCCTGATCTTTAGCCACTACATCACACCATCCTATTACATTTTGCATTTGCATCAAGACTTACTCACCCAGGTTTTAGTTTCGATTCCCAAGTGCAGCAAAATGGTGAAGAGTGCCAAGGTGGTGATGGGAGTTCCCCACGTAAACAAATCCACATCAGAGTCAACGTAAGCCTGCAAAAAATATGACAGACAACACCGCTACTTACTTATAGACTACATTTTAAGTATTTTAACATCACACTCTGCAAAAATCCTATTCTTAATTTGTATTTCTGTATAAAGTTGCAGTAAAAATACCTGAAAATCCTTGAAACAAGCTCAATTGTAATTATTGAAAAGATAGTTATAAGAAAAAATCTGCCAGTGCAATAAAACAAAATACAATTTTTTTTTAACTCTTTCTTTTTTTTTTTAAAGGAGTTTCAACCATTATGTCAAACTTTTCACAGCATTTTGCTCAATGTTGCTTTAATGAACTTACCCAAATTCAAGTGTTCATAAAAAAACAATACTAGAATAAAACTTTATTTGTTTACAGCAGACAGTCTGTTGTTTCTTTTGATATTTTTCATGTTCAGATATTCATAAAACAAAATATTCTGGGAGCTATGAAAACCACAAAAGATGGTGGTGGCTGGCAACTTTAAAAAAAAACAAAAACATAATAATATTAAAAATAATAAAAAAACATTGGCAGGTAAAGAGTTCAAATCTTGTGTTGCTTAAAATAAGCTTTTTTGTTTTAAGGATTTTTTTTTTTTTTTTTTTTTACAATATTTTTACTGGAAAATACTTTCCCAAAATTATTTGGAAACACTTATACCTTTTATGTACAATGCATTAAAGCAGTATTCTCATAATGTATGTTACTTATAATGCATTATATATTTTCATAAACAATTGTAACCAAATTACAATGGTGAAATTAGTTGCTTGCCATGTGTTTTAAAACATTATAATTTCTAGAACAATGAATTACAATATATGGTCTCATGAATAATTGTAATCAGTTATAACACAATGCATTACAAGGTGCACTGCAAGGAATAATTAATGCTTTAAAAATGCTTTCATAATGCATATAAATAATGCCTTTAGTGTTACCGAACGTTCCATTAAGATCAGACGCCCTTCATCTCAAGAAAGGCATACTTGATCTGCCAAGTCATGGATTTGGCATTGAAATTTCAGCAAATGCACACACACACACACACACACACACAAAAAAAAAACAACTTACAAAGTAGGGGATGAAAAAACAGATGAGACTTTGGTAAAAGGCATCTATCATGTTCATCCAGAACATGTAGGGTTTATATTCCTGTAAAAGAAATTGAGACAATCAGGGACAGATTCCAAACGAGCTCTGTTTTATTATAACGTCATTAGACGTTCCACTAATGGAGTCATAGAATGTGAAGAAATGGTTTGCGAATAAATCAGAATAAAGGAAGACATCTGTAAAGGCATATTGTTAGCA